GTTCACCAAAAATCACTGCGCCAATTTGACTTTAAGGCTCTGCCAGGACTCGAACCTGGGTTTCGAGAAATCGTCTGATCAGAATCTCGAGTGATAACCTCTACACTACAGCGCCTTGTTCATGTGCATAGGTCAATGACATCCTATTCATTATCGTAAGAAGCGCCTAAGCAAAAGACGAAGCCTGCCTGACCTCAGCGCCAGTCACAGTCCAGACTCCAGATTGACCTCAGAGGCAAAACCCACAAGTCGATGAGTAAAAACTCTCTATACACGCATACGAAGGCACTGCCAGGACTCGAACCTGGGTTACGAGAATTGCGAAGTCTTAAGCTTGCGAACACGCAATCAGAATCTCGAGTGATAACCTCTACACTACAGCGCCGTTGCCACAAGCATGATGCGTGAAAATCATAGAACACGACCTTGACAATGATGCTTCACCAGACAGACCAAACAGCGATGCTGGGGAGTGCTGGTTTAGATCGCTTGTAGAGCACATTACCCCCCATGACCTCGAGGGATCCGCGAGACAAGCATGGTTGGCTTGGATCGTTCTTCTATTGAGAAGAGGAAACTTAGTATCGGTAAGTTTCAGAACTTCATGTCACGAAACTCTGTTGCCTGCAAAAACTGTCGCTGTGTATTCGGCGGTGCTGTATGTTACTGTGTCTGCGCAAGAGGCAGCCATTATATATATTCCTTAAGGTTGTTATCAGCAATAAGTTACCTGTTGTTCGTGTGGAGGATCGTACGATGGATTTGCGAAGTTGCGAACGGCGGAAGGTAAGAAAGCGGGCCGACAGCGGACCGGCCAGTACAGGACCTATGCAGTTCCAAAATTTAAGGTTCCGGGTGGCTGTCTTACGTAACAGCTGACTCCCGAGACAGAAGTGCTGAGTGGGCGAGCTCCATCGACGATTATCCTCAAGACCAAGGCAAGTCCAGCTCGCTGCTCAGCCCATTCTCAATCACTAACCTCTTCCCCGTCTCCAGACCCGACACTAACGATGGGTGCGCCCCCTCCCTTGTCCCCACTTCCCCCTTGAAGGAACTAATCAAAGTTCGTTATCCTAGTCAACCTCCGGTCGCAAAAGCGCCTCGCCGCAAGCGTCGCCGGCGTCGGAAAACGCAAAATCTGGCTCGACCCCGCTGAGCAGGCCGAGATCGGCAACGCCAACTCCCGCACACACGTCAAGAAGCTCATCAAGGATGGCCGTGTGATCATCAAGCCTACCACTGTCCACTCACGCGCGCGCACGAGGGCACTCCTCGCTGCTAAGCGCAAGGGTCGCCACACTGGCCCTGGTAAGAGGAAGGGTACGTCGGAAGCTCGTATGCCTTCGAAGGTGCTGTGGATGCGCAGGCAGAGGGTGTTGAGGCGGCTGCTCAGGAAGTACAGAGAGGCGGGCAAGATTGACAAGCACCTGTGCGTTGTATTCGTCCCTGGTTCTGGGGTGTGCTTTTTGTGCTCATGAGGCGATTTTTTTTCTGCTGGACAGGTACCACTCGCTCTACCAAAAATCCAAGGGTAACGTCTTCAAGAACAAGCGTGTGCTCATGGAGTACATCCACAAGGCCAAGGCCGAGAAAACCCGCACAAAGGTCCTCACCGACCAGATGGAGGCCCGCCGCATCAAGAACAAGGTCCGTTTATCCTTCTCGTCCACACATACTAATACTGACTCATCTTGCTCCAGGCTGCCCGGGAACGTCGCATTGCCCGTGTGCAAGAGAAACGCCAGGTCTTCCTCGCGGTGGCGAACGAGGATGTTGTCGCAGCGTAGATTACCATCCAATCGATCTTCGTTTTTTCTCTTCTCTTGTCTCTTTGTGCATTGCTGTCATGAATCATCTCCGCAAATCCCATACTACATACGTCCAGTACCACACCATGCAACCTTATGCTAGGGAATGATTATGCCAGATTCTATCTCAAGGTGTGAGGCGCTTGGAGTAGTCGAAAATTGTAGTGGCGCCATTGATGAAACATTGCAACAAACAACTTGCTCAGCGTCAGCGACGTCTTCTGGAGAGCCTCATTTGGACGCGCTACGCCTGGCTTTAATATACCTTAGTCTCCCTCCAGTATGCCCACGACGCACATCGTCGAAGTCCCCGAGGAGACCGTGTACTTGGTGGCCAAGAACGGCCACTCACCGCGTAAGTCAAGGGTTGTCCTCCTTACTCCCTTGATTCCTTATCTGATGCACGAGGCCTGCTTCTGCCTGCCAGGCCCGGCACATGTCAAAAGTCGCCGCGAGAAAGAAGTGTATGTGCACTACGTAAACACTGATAAAAGAATGGACGAGTGGGTCCCTAGCGACATCGTGACACTCGCTGCTCCCCATCCTCCCCCTGCCCCTTCCGCGTCTGCTTCTGGTGCTCGAATCCCCACGCCACCGCCTGCACCCGCACCGGCGCCCCGCACCCTGAGCCTCTCAGGCGAAGTCATCGGCCCCGCCAACCCACCCACCGACGAGACCATGGCACCACTCTCTGGCCCTGGCATCGCGGGCCCCTCAGACCAGAGTGCCCCTTTCAGCAGGAACGGTATCGAACCCAGCAAGAAACGAAAACGCGGACGGCCACCACGCGAATATAGCGCCCGTCCATCGCCTGTTCCTCCTGCTGCTCACCCTTCTCGGTCTGCTGCTGCTGCTGCTGCCTCTTCCCCCGATGCTGCTGCCGTACCTGCACCTATACCAGCACGGGAATCGCAACCTATAGCGGTGGACTCAACTCCAATACCAACCCCAGTTCCGATCCCAATCTCAGCCCCAACCCCAGAAAGTAATGGCGAGGCCCCATTGATACTTGAACCCGCACCTGCTGGACCCGCTGAGGTGGCGATGACGGAGGAGGAGTACGATATCCAACACCACAAGCAGATTACTGCGCAGCGCAATTTTGATAAGGTTCATTTTGGGGAGTGGCAGGTCAAAACATGGTGTGTTGCCCCCTCCCTTCCCTCACCCTCCATTGCCTTCCCCTCTCTCCCCCCTTCCAAAGACTAAAACTCCCCATCCCCAGGTATTTCTCCCCCTACCCACTAACCGACACCGAAATCGACGAGCCCCCTCCCGCCGTCCCCTCCACCTCCACCGCCTCTCCCTCCCTCCCCCACCCCCACACCCCCAAAATCCCCGGCGTGCAAAAAGCCACCGCGCGTTCGCATGGCCGTACTTCGGATTTGTTGGCAGGCGGGCTGGGGAGGAACTACGTGGGCGGGGAGAAGGCGATGTTGTGGGTTTGTCAACAGTGTTTCAAGTATATGGCGGATGGGAATTCGTATGATTTGCATGTGGTGAGCGTGTTTGCTTTCGCTTTTGCTGGTGTTTTTGGTTCTTATAAGGCGGCGGGGGTGCAGAAATATTGTACGGTGGATTATCCGCCTGGGACGAGGGTTTACCAGAGAGGGGCGCATTCGATATGGGAGGTGGATGGCGCGAAGCAGAAGGTGCGTTCTGGTCAATCTGTTCTAGTTCACTCGGATTTTGACTGTTACGCGTAACGTAGCTGTACTGCCAGAACCTCTCCCTCTTCGGAAAGCTCTTCATCGACGTCAAAACGCTCTTCTTCGATTGCGACAACTGTGAGCTTTCTTCCCTGCCGGCCTTCCACTCTACCTCATAACCTGATATCGCTGCTCGCCAGTCCTGTTCTACATCCTGACGGACAGCACGTCGAAGCAGGACCACATCCTCGGGTTCTTCTCCAAAGTTCGTCTCCCTACCCAAACCCCTCTGATGTATGAAGGTATTGAAGGCTGACTGGCATTGTAGGAGAAGGTATCATATGACGATTACAATCTCGCGTGTATCATGACGCTTCCGCCGTACCAGCGGAAAGGCTATGGAATGCTCATGATCGAATTCAGTCGGTCCTTTCCTCTGTTTTTCACTCCTCAATAACGACTGATGGTGCATCGGTGGACAGGCTACGAGCTCTCGCGACGCGCGGGTAAAATAGGCACGCCTGAGCGTCCACTCTCAGACCTCGGTCTGCGGAGCTACCTTGCGTATTGGGTCTCCACCCTCATCCGCTTCTTCCGGTATGTATCCATTCTCCTTTCGTCTCTTAAAAGCACCAGAACTAACGATTTGGTCATGCAGCCACGTCCTATCGACCCTCCCACCCGACACGAAGCGCATCACCACCCTCGGCGGCTTCCCCGGCATCATGCGCTCGCCCTCCGGCGACTCCGAGGACGCCTCCCTTAGCGTCAACGGCCATAGTAATAGCATCGGCCATGGACAGAGTTACTATGGGAATGGGAATGGGGTGAGGAAGACGAAGAAGAAGACGAAGGGGTGGGCGGGGGAGGTGGAGGATCCGAATGTGGATGCGGATGATGTACCGTTTGTTTATATTGATGGTGCGCTTTCTTTCTCCTCCTCTTCTCTCTTCTTTCTTCTATCTTTTACCGGAGACTGGTCGCTGACTGGGTTACCTCTCCCAAAACACAGACCCAATATTCACAACCCAACGCCCCTTTGAGACCGTACAGCGCGAAGACGGCGGCGCGGTGACACACGTCTCGGTACGGTGCACACTCGCGGACATTGCGCGCGCGACGAATCTACGTGTTGAGGATGCGGCGTTTGCGATGAATGAGGTGGGGCTGCTCGTGGCGCATGCGAGATCAAGGGCGCGTGTTGCGGAGCCGGAGGCGGATGCTGTTGGGTGTGGAATGGATGTGGGTGAGGGGAGTGTAAGTGCTGTGGAGGTTGAAGGGATGGATGGCTTGGGGGGCGGAGGTGCGGGGGGGACGGTGGCGATTACGAGGGCGCTGGTGGAGCAGGTTGCGAGGGAGAGGAATGTGAAGAGGCCGTGTATGCGGATGGCGTTTGTTCGTCTTTAGGAGGGCTGGAGAGGGCCAGGGTGTATATATGTGGGCTTTCGTGCGGATATACAATATGTAGTCAAATTCATTCTTGGGACTTGGGTATCCTGTGTTTGGGTAAGAACTTGTGAGTATTTGTGGGTAGAGTGTATAAGGCGCTGTAGTGTAGTGGTTATCACTCGAGATTCTGACGTTATCTCCCAACCTCTGAGTATTCTCGTAACCCAGGTTCGAGTCCTGGCAGTGCCTAAATGGATGATCACTTTTTTCTGGTCGGATATGAAGCACTTGTTAGTATGATGAACCTCATGTTACTTAGAAATGAAGCCTTGTACAAGGCGCTGTAGTGTAGAGGTTATCACTCGAGATTCTGATGAGAGGATTTCTCGAAACCCAGGTTCGAGTCCTGGCAGAGCCTCTTCCGCAATCCAGACGTATTTTGATGCATCGGCCGATCTCTCATTTTTGCTGCTCTAAACTTTGAGGTCTCCCAGTCTCCAGATTATGGCTCCGAGTGTGTGCGGTGCAAAGGCGCTGTAGTGTAGAGGTTATCACTCGAGATTCTGATGAGCAGGACTCCTAATAGGAGATGCGCGGTCCGTCTTCTCGTAACCCAGGTTCGAGTCCTGGCAGTGCCTTGTACCATGTTTTGAACCTTTTTTTCCAATTGGGAGACCATGACATAGTGACCCATGTACCGGAATGTCGGATGTCCATCCAGTGCCACTGCCAGTAAGGAACAATTCTATTTATATCGTGCCGCCCGGAATCTGCTTGTCAACAAGTTGTGGGGTCTGGTGAAGATGTGAAGATGAAGAATGACGGGACCTAGAACCGTGGAACGCAGGTCATAGCGATTGTGCATGAAATGAGAGGGTAGGGTGGGGTCTGACGAAAGACGAAGGCATGGTATAGTTGAGGGTAAAGAGTTTATATCTAATCTTATCTACGTGTTTGTGACGATGATGTACTCAATGCAGTTGTTCCCTTCTTCCAGTATTCTATTGTGAAAACGCCCTTCTTGACTGGAATACCACGACTACGCCGCAGAATGCTCTGAATGGACGCGTCCTTACCTACACAAGGGGCCATGTTCTTGGAGGGTCCAGCTCAATTAGTAAGACGCTCCCTTGTGGGCCTGGAATCCTCTAACCAACTTAACGCTGTTGTTTTTCAAGATGGTATGGTTTGCACGCGTGGTTCTTCGTCTGATTCCGATGGATACGCGAAGGCAACTGGAGATCCCGGTTGATCCTGGAAGAAGTTGCAACCCTATAGTCGAAAGGTATGTCCGCTCTTCTCATCCTATCTAACGCTTGCTCAAGCAGGTGCGATGGACTGTCCCAGCCGACAAGCACGACACCACTGGCCAATTTACTCCTTATGCACGCGGGTTTGAGTTCTGCTGCGGCTTGTAGCACGAGAGAGTCGATGATTTGCAGGACACCAGGAAGGTTGACGGAGGTCATGCTCTCGGGTATATTCCGTACAACGAAGACATGAACTGGCATGAACTCTGGTGATTCTATTGGAATTGGTACGCGCTTCACTCCCTATCCTTATTTCCATTCACCCGTTCTAGGTTGTTTACAATCGACAATACACAGAGGCAAACGAAGCAGCGCAGCTATGTCATACCTTGCGCGAAAATTCCTGAAGCGACACAATCTAGATATCGTTCTTAATACACGAGTGATACGCATCCGGACGGTGGAAATTGCCCAGGATTCTACCGGTCTGTTTCCCAAAAGCTGAGTTTACTTTTTGCCAAGCCACTCATATCATCTGGTACAGGGTCTCGCCGCGTTCGTATGTTCGCTTCAAAAGAAGTCATGTTGGACGAGCTCATTCACGAAACGGTAGGGATAGGCGCGCATCCTGTTGGGACAACGACGATGTCGCCTCGGGGTGCAAAACATGGTGTAGTGGATCCGAACTTGCTGTCAAGGGGGTATCAGGGCTTCGTACCGTGGATGCCTCGATTATGGTGAGTCGAATGCAACCTGGCATGTCTACTAGCTAATCGTATGGTATTTCTTTTAGCCATTTGTACCGTGGGGACACAGTCAAGCTGCTGTCTATATCATCGCTGAGCGGGCGGCAGACCTTACTAAACATACATGGCTGGATCGCGATTCTTACAATCTAGCACCGCCTGGCAGCGATGCTATCTGAGTTGCCCTTTTATCTATCTATTTGGCTCTAAAATACCTAGGCAGCCGATGCCGCCGTTTCCCACCTTCCATCGGAAACTAAGAAGGCCTGCATCCAGACCCGTGGCCTACATCACATCATTACTAGCGAGTAAGGAAGTGCGCATTTACGACATCATGTCTTCGAATCCTTTGTCGTGAGTATCACTCCTTCCTTTTTATACCTGGAGCCACTCATGGCTTTTACTCTCAGGCTCAATTTATATCCGGAGTATGGCAAAGACTAATCATGCCGTCTTTGACATTGCCATCTCCATCGGTCAGAAGTCTTACAGCGATGAGTTTCGCAGAGACCAGCGTTACTCCATGCTGGAGCCTGTCAGGATGCTTCTCGGAACTCCTATTCGTCCTGTGACTATTACGAGAGAGAAGATGCAGGATTACTTTGCCTAGGGCTTAAAAGCCCGGCTTTGCGCTTCATGGCCTGATTGATTCTCGGTACTCGACATGGGACGATACTGGTGGTTCTTGCCCCTCCTTCTGCTGACACATTCCTCTTTGGCCGTTATCCAGGATCGATTTGAAGACTTGCCAAGCGCTTTCTATGACTTCATTGTCGTTGGTGGTGAGATTACCTCCAATGAGAAACACTGCTGGCTCCAGTGCTCACGGGTTACTTTGAACGCAGGCGGCACCGCAGGGAATGTCATCGCAAACCGGTTGACGGAGAACCCGGCATGGAAGGTCCTTGTCATTGAGGGTGGGCCGTCGTGAGTTTAGGATTCAGTTATCTCGTCATTCAAGCTTACGATCCCAAAGGAACGAGGATGTGATTGATTCAATCGTACCCTTCTTCCAATATAAACTTATTGGGTCGAGATATGACTGGAACTTTACGACTACGCCGCAAACAGCCCTCAATGGACGCGTAATGCCTTACCCAAGAGGCCATATTCTTGGAGGTTCTAGTTCAATTAGTAAGATGTCTTTCCGCTGCGTGGTGCGATTGGGGCTGACTCCTCTCAAGATGGGATGGTTTACACACGCGGTTCCTCATCTGACTTCGATCGCATTGCGAAGGTAACAGGAGATCAGGGCTGGTCCTGGAAGCAATTACAGCCATACATCCGAAGAGTGCGTCTACTCGTCATCATCTCAGTCGTCTATACAAACAGTGTCTAGAACGAGCGTTGGACTGCACCAAGCGACAATCACAACACTAGCGGCCAGTTTACACCTTCTGTGCACGGTTTCAATGGAATCAACTCCGTCAGTCTCACTGGTTTCCCACAACCCATCAACTCTCGCATGTTCCAAGCCGCGACAGAGCTGGGAGATGAGATCCCGTACAATCAAGACATGAATTCCGGGGATCCTATTGGAATCGGTATGCGCTTCCCCTTTCTACAAATTGCCTTGCTTGTGATTTTCTCCTCGCTTATACCTTCGTTCTAGGTTGGCTACAGTCGACCATCAACAAAGGCAAGAGAAGCAGCTCAGCTACCTCGTATATCGCGCCAAAATTCTTGGAACGAAGCAACTTGCATGTTCTTGTAAACCACAGGGTCACTCGCATCCTCCAGACGACCGGTTCTGGACGCCAGCCGGTGTTCCGGACTGTAGAAGTTGGACAAAGTTCCACTGGTATGTATCGGGAGAACTGTGTTTTTGCCCTGATGAGTCGTTCATCATCACTCGACACAGGACCTCGCACTCGGATATCTGCTTCTAAAGAAATCATTCTATCTGCCGGGACAATGGGCACACCACATATCCTGCTAAGTTCCGGCATCGGGGATGCGTCAGAACTTCAAGCGGCTGGGGTGAAGCCTCTTCATCAACTTTCCAGCGTCGGCAAAAATATGTCCGAGCATCCTATAATTTTTAGCTCTTGGTCCGCCAATGTCGATGCCAATGACACCAGTCTCGACGAGTACGTCCATTCCAAAGGATCTGTCCATCCGAGAAATTAAAGTCGAGTGCTCCACTAGCATTGTGAGAGATCCGGCACTTCAAACCAAATATCTCCGTCAGTGGGAGGTAAACAAGACAGGACCCCTGGTCGCAACCGGCTTTTCGGAGATCATGTTCTCTCGCTTGCCGGATAATGCGTCAATTTTCCAAGTAACTGCCGACCCCTCGTCCGGAACGAACACGCCCCACTATGAAATATTCGGTTTCGTGCGTACCCAATAATTCGGCTGGCTTCATTCATAGACTCGAGTTTACATAGAACAGGGGCCACGGACAGGCACCACAAGGCGATTTCATGACACTTGGGCAGATTGTCGTTACTCCTACAAGCCGTACGTTTATTTCATCTGGCATCCTCCCAAAACTGAAAAAGTGAATCCTTGCAGGCGGCAATATAACCTTAGAGACCTCCAACCCCTTCGATAACCCTCGCATTGACCCCGGACTCCTCGGCTCTGAGTTTGATAGATTTGCCATGCGCGCAGCAGTAAAACGTTCCATACGTTTCTTAGCTACTCCGGCGTGGAAGGACTATGTCGTTGGGCCCCCAACGGGCCTTGAGAATGCAACTACCGATGAAGAGTTGGACAAGTATATTCTCCAGTCCACAATTCCCGGGGACCATCCTATCGGGACTGCCGCGATGTCTGCCAAGAATGCTGGATATGGCGTCGTCAACCCAGATCTCCGCGTAAAGGGACTCTCAGGGCTCCGGATCGTCGATGCCTCTGTTCTGGTGAGGCATTTGATTTCAGTATGATTAATACTACTCATGCACATATTCTTAGCCCTTTATACCTTCGGCCCATACACAAGCTCCGGTCTATATCTTGGCTGAAAGGGCTTCAGACCTCATCAGAAATGCATGGATGAGTTGATCCTTAGCATCTATCGGTGCTGTTCCAGTTGCATTTATTAGTTAGCTTCAGTTCATGTCATGGAAGGTGCTAAAAGGTTGTTTGAACCAATTCGGATGCAAGTTCGCGGGTGATCAAAGTACCAGGTGATGCCGCTTTGTAAATTTGCCTACGTCCAATTAGAGTTGGCTGCAAGTTCCAGAGCCTCGGCTAGAAAGGCGCGAAAATCTCTATCTATTGGACTGTCTTTGAAAACGTTATGACG